TTGCACTACAGCTGATTCTTGACCATCAAGCATCAGTGTCCGGGTAGGCGACACCCAATCCTGTGGGATCACTGTACTTTGAAGGTTGAAAGCACATACCAAATGATGCAGATGCCCCATGCTCCTAAACTGGTTGACCACTGCCTACTTACAATCAATTGCTTCATCGGGATTCGTTATTGCGTTCAGTTACAGTATGCAATCGAATATTCACGGTGCGGTCGGAAACCTTCACGGCTTGAGTGCGATTTACGGACACGGCTTAGCCAGGGGCTTGGATATCTGAACTGATCAGACCCCGGTTAGAATACGAACATATATGTGGTGCATAGTTCCTGTGAACATTGCCCCCCCCATGTTATTTTTCTTTTCCGGATAGATTAATGGGTGATCTGTTTGTGTTATGAATCAGCAATTTTTCTCAACCGTTTTTTGATTGCACTAGTTGCTTTTGGCCTGTGTAGAGCATCAAGCACATAGTCTATTCTGATATCCTATCCCTCGTGTGTTTCGTCACTCTGCAAATCGCGTATCACGTTTCTAGTTCATGTGCATATTGTGTGTGTGTGTGTGTTGTGTGATACGTCATGTTCACGTGTTTTTTTCCCAGTCCTATTTCCATTATTTCTCCCACAGTTTCAGCTCGTCTTTCACAGCTTACTGCTAACTGGCCATGAGTAAAACGAAAGATAGGAACCGTTTTAGCCAGTTACTCTATGGCTCCTCCCCGTCAGAATCTCCTGGAACCAAGCGAAAGGCGTTCGGCTCCAATGGATCTTTGCGAACCCAATCTTCTTCACTTTCCCAGGCCTCTTTGGAAACGCTCCAAGAATCGGTCGTACCTTTACCTGTACCTCCGGATTTACTGCCAAACAACGCTTCCGGAGCACGATCTGTGCTTGCCGTGATCTTCATGCTTTTCTCAGCCTATCTGGGCAGCATCTTTTTTCAGGGCCCCTTGCTCCCATTGAGTATTGTCTGTCCGAAAGTTTTCCGACGCCTGATTGATTTCACCATGGCTTCGTGGTTCATGCTGGCCGAGGTAAGACTAAGCAGTATTATAATTGCTACTGCTGCAATGACTACTACTACCAATACCGTTTGTAGTTACCGTAATGAAATATTTTAGCTTTGTTGTTCCAATCAAATACTTTGCATCCATATATTATTTACATTACTTCTACATGTAAATTCCATTATATAGAGCTAAGATTGTCTTGATAGGTAGGTTTATCTGGCGTAAATATTCAGTCGATATATTCAGACTGTTCGCTGTAGCATTTCAGTCTCTATGGGGGTAAGTTTAACAACTATTTACTTACCTAGAGTAGACCCAAGAATTGTTCAGCTTTTATTTTAAAATGTGTGATTGCAGACCAACAGTGGTGATTTTGTGAAAATGTATCGAATTTTAGACTGGCCATCCGAATTCACATGAAGTTTTCAGATTGTCCAATGAAATCACACAAAGGGCCTAGTCAGGCTGGTCCTTTTTTAAATAAAATACCATCTGGGTTCCTGCAGTAGTGATTTTGATATCAGTTGGGCCTCTGGGAATGTAATGTGTATGTAATGGCTTATCACCTCTGAGCCGGTAAACAGTAGTTTCCTTTGGGACCTATTTCACCTCCTTGTTCCCGATCACTTACCCGACTGTCATCTGTGATACAAAAAATACTGTGTGGCCTTATCCTGCAAATCCCTATTTATGCGATCTTGACTACATTAACGGTAACGGATTCATCGACCAAGTTGCGTAAGGCGTGCGAAGACAACTACACCCAAACGGATGGATTGCATCTGCTGCGTGATTCAAACTCCATACAGGTGATTTATCCACCTAACACGGATGGACACAAATCAATACCAATGATCCTATCCGTGTCTCACTGTGCCTTCGTATCTCGAAAGTCACAAGTACTAATCCGTAATCTTCACGCGCACAGAACCCCACGGGTTTTCAGACATTTATATATATTTTATATTTATGGGTGGTGGTGGCGTAGTCGCTGTCACAGGCTTGCTTTGGACCTTATGGTGCGAGGTTCGAGCTCCGCCGCCTCTACCCAACTTTGGTGGTAGACAGCTTTGCTGTCGTCCGGTTCAATACCATGCCTAACCTATTGGGGCCTTATGTGGTTCGCTACTCCAAGTCCTGGGGCTTAGGTCACTGGTTTCTATGACGGAGCAGCGGGTCTTCGTGTCTATGGGGTTCGACCAAGTTAGCGGTTAGCGGCTTCTTACGAAGTCGACAGCATCGTACCCTGGCTGCGCATGCGATAGTGATTCGTTACTCTGTTGTCTCCACCATGTACATTTTCTTTCTGTGAGCCCCTACTCCTCCCGGTGATGTCCATATTCTGCCCCGGTGGATAAGCCAACATTCAGCCTAACTGCAGTCTGTTCTGAATGGATCGATTTTTGATGCAAATTTTGCACCTCCAGACTGTCGACTGCAATGTTACAGGCCTGGGTTAGTTTGTCTACCCAGACACAGTTTTGCATCGCTAGGTTGGGTGGATCAACCGAAGAAGTCATCTTGAAATTAGGTGAAGAGTATTGAGTTGATAGAGTCGTACACATACTCACAACCTTAACGTCCACAGACTGGAGCGGCTGGAGCAAGTGCGACGCGCGCTTTTCCATTGGCTTCTTCGGTATGTATAGTCTTCCGAAGCAGGAATTAAATAGAAGAATAGCTAGGGCGGTCAAATCATAATCTGACCTAAAGGTCTGGAAGCTGTAATGAGAAAACTTTATTCGCGTTTGATTTCGCGGTTGAGAACCTCGTGATCAGTCTGATCAGTTGTCAAAAAACACCGAACGGTAAGGCTTCCTGTTTCCGACAGTAGCGTGTGTGCATCGGCGCACTGAAGTCAACGTATTCTCTCTGTCCTACTGCTTTT